GCGAATGTTCTGGCTGAGCCGGGTCACTGCCCAGGCACTCATACTGGTCTATGTTGTGCGAGCGGTGAGGAAGGAGAGTGGAGATGCAGCAGGTGGAGCTACGGAGGGGAGCTCTGATGCACAAGTAAGTAGCAGTTTGTTTCTTGATAATTTGCCACATGCCATCAATTTGAATGCCTTTTCCTTAGTTCCTGAAATATTTGAGTAAAAAACAAAAATAATAATAGTTTCCTAAGTTGTGCAGGTGTTTTAAATTCTTAATTTTCATTTTTTTTAAATTCTAAATTTCCTGTGCAGTTTTGGGGGAATTGTCTCATTACCACTTTTTTTGGATGTTTTTAGGGTTACCTGTTCAGCTGGGACGTGTTCTGGGATCTGACGAGCAACCTGATCATCTCTGGATGTGATTCCACTCTGACTGTGTTGGGCATGAGCGCTGTCATTTCCTCCATGGCACACTACCTTGGCCTCAGCATCCTAGCTTTCATAGGTATTAGCTTTGTTTGTGTCATAGAAGCATGTGTACAAAACATTGTAAAGTGGTTCTTGGTTTTGAGCTTTATCTTCTTTGAAATGTCCAGGTTCGACTGAGGAAGAGGATAAGCGCTTAGGCTTCGTGGCTCCTGTTCTATTCTTTATTCTGGCTCTACAGACTGGCCTCAGCAGCCTGGATCCAGAGGAACGTTTGGTATGTCACAGGATTAAAGCGTCGTGTATTTTTGCTAAAACTGGATATTTATACTAAGTTTTGCTTTCAATTTTATCTGTTAGGTTTCTTCTTATATTTTTATAACCCTTTTTGGGATGTGTGGATGAAGATTTCTGTCTCCTAACATTCCTATATGATTAATCACAGATTAAAAGTTCAATCTCAAGATTCAATTAAAGGGTTTACATTGCAAACACACTCATACATCAGTTTAATTAAAATATGGGACAAAGGGTGCAGGGTGGAGTAGATGTAAAAGGACAAACAGCCTTTTAGAGAGGCTGTTCTTCTTGAACTCAGCAACTCAGTGGTTGACTCAATCTTTGCTGGATGTCCGCCCCCTTTTCTTTCTGAACCATTTGAGTAAATACCAATTATTTCAACAACTCGACTGCTCCACTCGAACATCTCCATGTCTCATTCATTTTAATATATTTTCAATTGCCTTCTTTCTTACAGTGCTTTGTAAAAGTTTTCATACCTGTAGAACTTTTTCACATTTTATCAGGATTAAAAAAAACCTGCATTCCACCCATAATTATATTTTCAGCTGGTCCTATTGAGCAGCAAAACCAGTCCAAGAAAACAGAAGGAAGTTTTTCTCTCACCCAGGTGTCTGAAGGTTTCAAAACTTAAAGCATTGATGTTATTGAATGAAGGTCACAAAACTTAAAACTGTAGACATTACAAGTGGCCTTCAAACCTTTCTTTTCCACTGTAAGATAAACATTTTTTGTGTTGAAATGGGATAAAGGCTCATGAGGAAGATAGTGGCACTTGAGTTTTTGTCTGAAACGATGCGTTGGTGACAAAACGTCTGTGTCACTTTTCCACCAAGGTCCGCTTGAGCCGAAACATGTGCCTTCTACTGACGGCCATCCTGCACTTTATTCACGGCATGACCGACCCCGTCCTGATGTCCCTCAGCGCATCCCACGTCTCTTCCTTTCGCCGCCACTTCCCTGTTCTGCTGGTGTCCGTGGCCCTCTTCATACTCCCCGTAGCGCTCAGCTTTGCCCTCTGGCATCACTACGCCCTCAACACGTGGCTCTTCGCGGTCACAGCCTTCTGTGTTGAGCTCTGTCTCAAGGTGAGTGCCAAAAGCTTTAATCTTTTAGCATTAGTTATGATGCTGTTTAAAATGGTTTAACTGCTTCACGTTCTTATCTCCGTTTGCTTCAGGTCGTGGTATCATTAACGGTCTACGGTCTTTTCATGGTTGACGGATTCTCCAACGTCCTTTGGGAGAAGCTGGATGACTATGTCTACTACGTGCGTTCCACCGGCAACATCATCGAGTTCCTGTTTGGTGTCATCATGTTTGGAAACGGCGCCTACACCATGATGTTTGAGTCGGGCAGCAAGATCCGTGCTTGCATGATGTGTCTGCACGCCTACTTCAACATCTACCTTCAGGCTAAGAACGGTTGGAAGACCTTCATCAACCGACGCACCGCCGTGAAGAAGATCAACTCCTTGCCGGAGGTCCGAGGCGACCAGCTGAGGGACATTGAGGACGTGTGTGCCATCTGTTACCAGGAGTTTGCCAGCTCGGCGCGCCTCACGCCATGTCACCATCACTTCCACGCGCTGTGCCTGAGGAAGTGGCTTTACATCCAGGACACATGCCCCATGTGCCACCAGAGAGTTTACGTCGAGGACGATGGCCGAGACAGAGCTGCTTTCTCTAACAACAACGGGGGCTACGCAGCGCCGCAGGACGCCGTTGCAGCAGGCCCACCGGTTCAAGGAGAAAACCCGCACGGACAGCCGGTAGCCGAGCTGCTGCCAAACGGAGCGGCAGCGGGGGCGCACGCCGCTGGAGGACCAGCGGGGCTCGACGATTTGGTGGAGGACAACGACAGCATAGAGTACGACGAAGACGAGTGGGGGACTCAGAATGGCAGCACACCGATAGAAGAAGAGTATATCAATGACGACACAGACTCTACAGAAGACTGACGAGAGAGGATCTATAGAAAATAATATACATATATCTTTATTATATTTAAGTTAAAAAGAACACTTAAATTGTTCTCGGAAAATTGTCAGGGATCTCAGTCTCTCTGTTTCTCCTTAGTTTCTTTTGAGTTTTACTCTATAAGGGCTTGTGGAAAGAGTAAAAGCTGCTCTCAGTCTGTGTGTGTGTGTGTCGAGTGGATGTGTGGGCAAGATGTAGACCAAAAACTCATGTTGCTCTTTTTTTTATTTCCATTAAAAAGTCATCAGAAATTCATAAAAAAATTGAAGTTCTCATTGCCTTGATGCAGTTATACAAAAGTCAGTTTTTATTAAGGTTCGTCTTTGAAGAGCTACAGGGAAGCGGTGTTATCAGGATGCCTCTGGGTTATGTGCCGACATTTAATGTGCTTAGACAGCGACTTAAAATAGTCATGCTCCCTTGTAATTTATAAAAAAATGCTGGATAATTTAAACACTGCAACTTTTTTTATTTTTAAATTCTGAGATCTGTTTAGTTTTGGATTCATTCTCCTTTTTTCCATTCTCTCAGTTGTCACCTTAGTCCTTTGACAAACTTGCTGTTTTAGTTTTTCTAAAATAATCAGTTTTCAATCATAAGTAATTGATTTGATGAGTTTCTTGTGGTTAGTCTTTGTGAAAGCTGCAGAAACTCATCTTAAACCAGCGCTGATCTCCCATCATTCAACAATTTGTAGATTTTGATTGGCTCAGGTTTGTTGTGAACTCAGTATTTTTGTCCTTTAAGCGAAATCCTTGTGAAATAGGCCAGTGTGAAGGCACTCGCTGGTGGAAAAACCGAGGTTCGTTTGATTAAAGATTAACTTGCTACTGTAGGCCCTGATATACCTCTCATTGCTTACTACTGGTCTCTTCTGTGACCTCACTTAATGTGTACGTTGTCGTACATATGATGAAACCTGTGCACATTTTCTCTGTAATATTAAAGGTTTCAGGTGATTTGTTTCTATTAATATTTACATTTTTCTGCACAAGTTATACAATTAGGTTAAATTCCTGCTTCAGGTGCAGAACGACTTACTTATAGTAAGATTACTGGTTCTAGAAAAAGAAAATCGGTTGCAATTTAAAAAAAAAAACATGATGGTAAAATTGCCAACTGTTCTGTACACATTACTTGAAAGGGAAAAAGTATTTTTAAAATATCAGGTGAAATATTTTTCTGCTGGATGGATGTCATTTTCCAGATGGTTATATCAGTCATTAAACATGCAGTCTTGTTTCTTAATAGCATTACTTTTCAATGTATCCCTTGTGCAATATGGCTGAAGAGGTGAGCTTCTTGTCTCGAGTTCTACTGCAGGAGTTTCTTCAATAACATGGGGGCAGCCAAGGCTTCTAAAACTACCACTGTTTTCTGATTTTTGCAAATTATCATATACACTATGATATACATTGCAATTTTGAGCATCACTTCTTACTGTTCAAAAATGCTAATGCCTGATACATGACTAAGGCAAGTTGACTGAAATGTCTATTTTTTTCTGCCTTGAAACAAGAATTTAGTCAACCTCAGTACCTAGAAATCTTAACATTGAATTTCTTGATTTAAAAAAAAAATATTTTTCAAACATAGATCTGAGTATTGTGGTAAAGATTTAATAATTTTGAATTCTGTGAGGGTTTATAGACAAGCTGATGATCATAACACATACATACTGGTAGTTGAAGATGACCTACAAGGAACTTGATCAAGTGTTAGGGAATATGATTGGAAAGCTGTGCTTTTTAATATGCTCGAGCTGTGAAGGATTTTGATTGTTAGTTTAATCTTAAAGCTTTTTGAAAGGTAAAAGCTGTTAATTTTGCCTTTTGTTTTAAAAAGACTTATGTAAATAAAATTGTCTTTGATATTGCATTTTGACCACTCTCTTTATTGCAAATTTTTACGGTGGTTTTCCCAACTTTTTTTTAACATTATTAAATACTAACCCACTGTAAAATGTAATGTATAAAGATGTTGATTCAATTAGCCACTATAGGGTGCTGTTCCACCATAGTGCTGCTAACGTTTCAGTATTACCAGATTCCTTAATGGACTTGATTTGAACTTTCCAAACATTAACTCTTTGCAGATTGTTAAATTTTGGCCGCAATTCTTAAGTCACGGAAACAAATAATTAGTTCTTTGATTTTCATAAAATGAATAAAATAGCTATACATTCAAAGATCTGGCTATATATATACAATATAAATAGGATAAAAAAAATTTATCTATCCTTCGAAATAATGTTTAAATTTATTATGAAAATTAGAACCGGAAACACCAAGCTTTACTTCTAAACTCTGAATCAACAGCTTCCGGTTTTCCTCTTGACTTGACTCTCCTGTAGTTCCAGTTCGGTTTCGGCTTGAACTTCATGTGTTAAACTCCTGACCACCCATTTTTAGGAGATCATGAGGTTTGGGCGACGGACAGCGCGAAAACAGACTATGTCCGTTTTCTCAACGTGTTGCTTGGGATTTACAGATTTTAAAAGTCGTCAATTCATTCTTTAGTTGACGTCGAATGAGGCTAGTAGGACCGACCAACACGCAACTTTGAGCCCCAGCGCCAGTCGTTGGTGGAGCGGAGAGTCGTCTTCGTACCTCGCCGTACGAAGAACCCTCATATAAATTAGGTTTTACATGTTATAATCTGACTTAGTTATGTATACCGGGACAATGCTTAAGGTATGCCTGCGGAAAGCTCTCTGGCCGACTGTACAGAAGTTACCGTCGGGACTGAGGCAGTCTCCAGCAGCGGCGGTTGTGGCGCTGAGACTCCCGGGGACAACGCGACACTCGCCGTGCTGCTGGATGGGAACACATGGGAGAAACGAGCCCAGGGAGACACTCAACTCTCCCAAAAGGGCCAAAGAGTTTATTTATCGCCTACACCCGAATGAGAGGACGTGTTTACTGCAGGAGCTTCAGATTTTCGAGTCCAAAGCAATCGCTCAAGGTAAGAAATGAACAGCTCGGGTTAAAGGTGCAACTCCATGACAAACTGAGATTTGATGGGAGGCCACAGGCTATTCGCAGGCAGTGCGCCAGTATTTATACTGCTCCCACATGAGTGAAGTCAAATGCTTTAGTTTATGCATTGTTGCACAGCAGGGTGCAAACTTTACCCATTGTTACTAAACTCTACAAGTCGGCAGGAAATTTTATTTAACCAATGTTTTTTTTTTTATTTGTGCTAAAGTTTAAATGAAATTCTATAAATTATAGAGGCTGCAATAAATCAGAAGATCAAGCCCTCATCTTACAATGAGTTGACATATTGATGTAAACGTGATAACATCAAGCGGTTGCTGTTGAACTTGCACTAATTTTAGTGGTACCCTTAAAGCAGAAGGGTTTGTTTCACACATAAACAGTAACCAGTCTGTCAATAAACTGCAAAGTTGGTACTGGAGGCCAAAAAGCTAAACTTAATTTAGCAGTAACACCAGCAGAAGAAGCATTCATACGTGTATTGATATGAAACAAAGTAAATTGCCTGTTGTAAATTGTAATTTTTCTCCAGCCCTGCTCCTCAAGACGCATTTCCCTGCATGTTTAACTTGGAGGGCATTGTGCCTTCAGGACCAGGGTTGATGTTAAATTATAGGCATATATCTAGACCTGGAGACATGGACCCACGGTGTGTCACTCCTGCTATTCCAGTCTGTCAGAAAGGTTGTTCATCCTGTACAGAAGTCCCAAAATAAAAAAAAAAGAAAAGAAAAATCATAAATAGTTATTTGTCTTGGTGTTCAGATTAAACTGAAAATAATCATCATGACATGACAATGGACTAAATACATAAATAATAAAACAAATACACATCTCTGTTTTAGAAAAGTAAAAACAATAAATGTCAATATCATACAGTTAAGTCCAAAATTATTCATACAGCAGGCAGGTTTAGGGAGAAAGTAGCCTTTTAATTTTAACAAGTTTTTTTTTCCCCCCAAAATGAAACTTAGGTACGTTTTGGAGTGGCTGACATAGGACTAATAGAAAACCTGTGAGAGGAGCTTAAGATTAGGGTGATGGCAAGGACACCTTACAATCTCAAAGACAAGGGCACATTGTCAAAATACCCCAGCAGTTATCAGAAGGGATAGATTGCTGCAGTGCCAATATATTTTCTTTTATTGACCATTATGAAACCTATAAGCAATTCTCAGTATAAATTTTTTAAAAATATGTTAAATTTCTTTTTTCAAAATTGATACCTGTGTTTATATGGTTTCATCATTAGAGGTGCACAGATATAAATTTGGCCTGATATCGAATGTCTAATAACCTTTCAACAGTGTAAAAAAATGACCATAGTGGTGACCTTGCTTTTCTACGCCAGCGAAGCACAACCCAGTCCTGGGCTGCATCACTATCACTACACGAATACCACATGAGCAACCCCCTTACTCTCCTGAAACTCCAAGATAAAAATAAACACTGCTATTAATATCAGCCAATAACAGTGTTCTATAAGTTTTACTTATAGGACTGATACCATTATGTTAAAAAATGACACTGGTGTTAATGCTGATAAATATTGCATCCATATTTATCCTCTGAGAGTAAAGTCGAGTTTATTTGTGTAGCACAATTCAGCAACAAGGCAGTTCTAAGTCCTTTATTACATAAAGACAACCTGATCCGTTTTACTAACAGAAACAAATTTATTTAAAAAAACAAATTGAATTCTGTCAGGGTTATGAATATTTCTGGAGTTACAGTATATAAAAATGTAAATATCACTGTGTTTCACTATGTAGACCTGAACATCCGATTGGTTAACCTGCAGAATGAGGACTCTACTGACAAATCATAGTTCCTACCCAAGTCTGACAATCAGCTGCTGATTGATTATGGCCTATTTAATTATATCTCGCAAATAAAGTCATTTATGAGACTAATTTAATTATACGTATTTAATAAATTATTTACTTGTTTCCATTTTAATTGGTTTTTGACACATATAAGTTGACATTTATTGATTTTTTTTTAATTGTGGCCCTTTGGAGTTCTATGCAAGAACATGTTTGTGAGGGGTGAAACCTGCAATCTTATACTCTCTTGTCCAAGCACTACAAGTCATTTATGGCCCATTTATGATGCGTTGCTCACCATTACAAAATCTTTGTGAGCTTTACTGCGCTTCTTGGCCGTTCTTTTCTATCCAGGATTTGTGCCAAGCTGTTCTCAGCTTCTTTCTTTTCTGGCTCACAAATTGCTCTACATGGAACAAGCGAAGAATGCTGATGCTCATCCCCTCCTGCTTTGGAACTCGAATATGTTGTTTTCACTACAGTAATCTGTTTACTCAGTCATAAGACCAGCTCTATTTCAAGACTGTGGAAGTTGGTAGAAACATTGACTGTTTTGTGAAGTCATTGCTGGTTTCATTTGATCTTGAGGCAATTTGTCTCAAGACCAGAGTGACTCATCATAATGTCCAAAACACTAAAACCATCTTCTGAGTCAGTAGTACAAAACTTCAGGGAAATCTGCATGTTCTTTGCTTGGAAAAAAGTCATGATTTTTATCTCTATGTGTTGGTCTATGCCATATGGATTTCAGATGTGCTCTGTGTTGCTGATACTAATCAGTTTTACACTTGACAAACCTGCCAGTTATGGAGAATCTCAATTGAACTCATCAGTTTTTTCTAATCTTTAATAACTTTTGTTGAGTCGTGTGTTTTTCTTGCTATATTGTATTGCCCAAAATCTAACGTCTTATTCAAAAAGTCATATAATACTGAAACTGTTGCAGATGTGTTGTTTTAACTGAAAGAGATAAAGTTGTACCTCCTGACTGTCTTTATCCTTTTATTTTGCACAAGACAGCTAATTATTACCGTGCACCCAAGCTGCTCATTAAGGCGACGAAAATTCAGCTTTTTCTTTAGCTAATGTATTCCTTTTCCACCTGGTTATTTATCTACTGCCCAGTGAATAACAGGGTTTTCTTTTACACATTGATGAACCAAGGACAGAAGCTTGTGTGTTCAATCTGAAAGACATCTTTGATGTTTCCTCAGAGACTGTTTTAATTACCCAGAGACCCAGCATTATGTTTTGTACTCGTATTGTTTTAGGGTTGACTCATAAGTGAACCCAATGAACCTTGCTACTCTCCTCCTCACCCATTTATTTAATTTCCTTGGGGGATCAATAAAGTGTTTTTGAATTGAATTATTTTGGTAACACATTTATTTTTTTATTTTTTATTTTTGCAGAGAGTGTTGTGTAAGACATTTCATATCAAAGCAATTTCTACATGAAGAATTAAAAACAATACATATATTTGGCTGAAAATGTTTTTTAATAAGTTTCCCAAAGTGGAAAAAAAAGCAAATGAATTAATATAAGCATTAGATTGATTTTCCCTGTCTCGAGTCCCTAGAAAGTCAACACAGAAGGTCACAATGTTTTGGCATTTCATGATTTGTAAAGCAGTAAATGTCAAACTGGCAAAAGGAGCCCCTTTAGAGACAGCTTGACCCAAACAATAGCAAATTACTTCTTAGACATTGAACTCTTACATTAGAAATTTGGCACCGACGATATGTTGTCCATGCCGATGATGCACTACCAATTTGACAGCGCTGACATAAAATGACAGTTTCACCACAAACAACGCCGATCAATGATTGACTAGTTAGTACTGAAAAAAATGGTCTGTCAAAACTGAGTAAAAGGATTCATTCCAAACCAGTGCCTCTACCATTATACTTATTAAAAACCTGCGTGTGTAAGCAATATCAGTGTTGTAAAATACTATTTGAAATGCAATAATATTTGCCAACATACACTGGACCCCTCCCTATTTGTGGTTAAGTATTCACAGACATTTCTATGAAACATAAGTTGAAATTATTTACAAAATGTTTGTATTTTTTTGGCAGACCATTTCTAAAATATTGGGGAAAAACATGTAGCTTGAGAAGCTGAAATACTTTGGCACAATGCTACTTGACATGCCAATCAGCGTAAATCAGCCAATCTAGGAGTGTCATCTGTTTTTCTTGGTGCTTATTGTATTCTCAATAATACTTACTAAATCAATAATGGATTTAAGAAAAAAAAAAACTGTTGCTGTTGGCTTCTGTGGTAAGGCTACATTTAGTGTTTCAAGTTCCATTTCAAACACAGCAGAAATGGAGAGGAGTGATGTAAATGTGGCATTATCAGGACTGATAACATCATACATTTGTACTTCACATCATGGAGTCATCACCCACACATTTGGGCCCATGATTTTGAATCTTTAATTTGAGTGACTGCGAACATTTTAAGAAAAAATTGGCCTGGAAGTGAATGAGATTTCTTTATGTTTATAATACTGACTTATCTTCTTTGCTCCGTTTTACTGTGTTATTGTGCAGTATCATTAACTATAGCAGTACATCATGCTGCTGCACTGTCCAATGTTTTAATTAGACCGTGTAGCTGAGTAGAGAAAGACGTTGGCGCTGAACGTCTGTGCTAATAAGCAACTTCAACCCCTTAACTCTAACAACTAATGAGCTAAATGCCACCCAGGAGCAGCGAGGAGGGTGAAAGTGTTTACTTCAGAGCTTCAAAACATTTCTGACACGGTACTTACTAAATTACAATAAATATACATTTTGGGCATTTTGTAAACTTCTTTAATGCATTCAATTGGCTTGACTATCTTGCAATCAGTTTGGATGTAACAAAAACTCTAACAAAACAAATCACAGCTTCAGAGAGATTTTTTTAGTACAATTTATGGTTAAAATGCAGCAAACAAAGATGTGTTCATGTTTACCTGGAGCATCATTAATATTAGCCACCGAGTCTGTTGTCAAGTTATATGGTGACAGACCAGCTGTGACTGAGTTGGAGCTGCAGTTAGGAAAAAACATCTGGAGAAAAAGAATCTCTTGAGAGTCTCTTTTCCTTTCTACCCCACATGTAAATTCATATTGTAAATTCATGC